TTAGTAGTAAATAGTGCTAATTAAACAATAGAAAACAATAGGATTAGCATAATTTAGCAGTATTTAGTGGTATTTATGTTACACACATAGTGTTTGTACTCTATATCAGCTATTGAATGAGGTTAGTTACGATATCAATCGTACATTATATTTTTTAAAGAAAAAATACATTATATTTAAAAAATAGTCGAGAGTTGAGGCTGAGCTGGCCACATGGGAGATAAGGAGCAAAAGGCAAAGGTATATTAGTTATGGTCATAATTATTTGTATTGTCTTAGTTTATATACAAACCTCTATTTTTTCTGTCAATTCCCACTTTGTCACCATCAAGGAGTGCTCCAAGCTTTAAAATATACGTTAAACGGGAATCATTAACATTTAGTGCATAAGGTACAGACTTCTTTACCTTGGGTGTAATATTTTCCCATTTCAGACCACGTGTCATTCCCTAGAGTATCATTTCTTTGTTTGATAGTTGCACATGAGAAGACACATGAATATGGATACAACTCAAACAAAGGATCTTATTCTTAAGAGAATGACGTGGTTCTGATTTGGAAAAATATTACGACCTATATAGAAGTAAAGAGGTCGATTGACGAATGTTTGTAGGAGTGCTATAGTCTAATAGAGAGAGGAAATTTAAATAGGAAATGGACGGACGGACGGATAGATGGATGGATGGATGGATGGATGGATGGATGGAAGCATGGATGGATGGGTGGATGGAGGGATGCATGAATGGATAACATAACACAAACAGTTAATATAAAAGTACTTACCTCATGGAATTTCTCCTTTCCTCTCTGAAATCATTCATCAACATCTAAATAAAAATTTCAATACTCAGTATTTTTCAAAAATTTTAATATTGAATATTCTTTCATACAATTTAGTTTACCTCGGTCATGTCTTGTTCTTCTACATCTGTTTCTCTTATTAATATAGTCTGTTAACAGTGAGAAAGCTATTATTATATTTTGCAAGTGTAAAGTCAAATAGACACAAAAGAAAACAATTGAATTAGGGTCTACTAATGTGTATTAGTGTAATACCTATTGCACGGGTTTAATGACTTCACTCTAGTCAAATAGACACAAAAGAAAACAATGGAATTAGGGTCTACTAAAGTGTATTAGTCTAATATCTATTGCACGGGTTTAGTGACTTCACACTAGTCAAATAGACACAAAAGAAAACAATGGAATTAGGGTCAATTTAAGTGTATTAGTCTAATATCTATTGCACGGGTTAGTGACTTCACTCTAGTCAAATAGACACAAAAGAAAACAATGGAATTAGGGTCTACTAAAGTGTATTAGTCTAATATCTATTGCACAGGTTTAGTGACTTCACTCTAGTCAAATAGACACAAAAGAAAACAATGGAATTAGGGTCTACTAATGTGTATTAGTCTAATATCTATTTCATGAGATTAATGACTTTACTCCAATGACTAGGCGGGTACTAGTTGGGACCGCGTTGGTGTGTTTATTAAATACAAGTGAATAAGAAGGCAAATCAAGCAACTCGTAAGTTTGTACATTTATAAACTCTTAAAAATTGCCTCTGAACCCCTTCAGTACATCTTCCAAATTCGTGAAGGACGACCCTTCAGTGGGTTAGACTTCACGAATTTGCAACGTCCCCTGTCATCGGTTAGGTTTAGGGGCGGGGTTGGGGAAAAGTCATCGTTTTCTATTGTTCTACACATGTGTGCCCTCCAATAGGATCACATCTTGCAAATTCGTGAAGGACGACCCTCTTCAGTATCCACTTTATTTTCGATAAGCTTTTATATAATTTTTATTAACTTTTCTTTTTCGTTCTTTATCGCCATTTTATTTTCTATTCCTCAATTATTTATTTTTAGTGTTCAGTTTTTTCTTACCTGCAAATGTTTGTTTTCGAGTTTCAGTCTGAAAAAAAAAATCATTTTCTTTACTATTTCAGGAAAGTGTAGACTACTGATAGGGACTAATGTATGGAACATGTATCAACCATCCCCTCCCTCCCCTCCCCTCCCTCCCCTCCCCTCCCTCCCCTCCCCTCCCTCCCCTCCCCTCCCTCCCCTCCCCTCCCTCCCCTCCCCTCCCCTCGCACATCTAGCTGATTACAGCAGCCAACACTAGCAATTCTAAAGCCTAAATATAGCGCGGGAACCGGGAAACTAGGAAAAAAGCTTGCACCCGCGTCAGATACCGCGCGCTACAATGCGCGCGCTAAGCCTTAGACCTAACGGTTGCTTGACGGCAAAATAACTGCAACCGTTAGGTCTAAGGCTTAGCGCGCATTCTAGTGCCCGTTATCTGACGCGGGTTCAAGCTTACTCATATTATGTACAGCGATAAATAATATAACAAGGGAAGATAAGTGTCCCCCTTCTGCCCCCTGTGCGACGCGTAGCAGAGTGCTTCTCCACACTTCTGTAATCTTCGCTCTGAATTGATATCGCGGGAAGCGGGATTTCGGAAAGAAATAGCGCGTGCTTCAGGATTCAGAACCTCCTTCGAGACACTGTACGACTCTTTTTAAGGATCTTTATTCATCCGTCTATCCATTTATCCATTTATCCGTTCGTTCGCCCTACTGTCCATTCGTCCTTTTATTTAACCAACCAACTAGTCTATCAATCATTAATCAATCAATTAATTACTTTTTAATGTAACGAAGAGAAAAAGATCTAACCTTCGCAACTCGTCGTTCAATTCCTTAATTTCTTCCTACAAGAATACAAGGGTTACAGTATTAATAATCGTCATAGAAAGATAATGTTGACAATCAGTGGTTACTAGCTGTGATTTCATATTATGTGTTATACAACAAGTTAACAAAAATAATTTCGGCTGCTTTTACACGGTAACGGACAATTTTAATTTTTGTACGTTTAGGGGCTCCGTTAACACGGGACTGAGCTATCCAAAGAAAATTCCATACGCCTAGCCGTGCAAACTTTGGATCCGGTTCGAACGTATTTTAATACAGTGAAATAGAAGGTTTCTGGTAAATGGTATTTATAGGTCAATTTTTTTAACGGTTAGCAATTCGTCCGGTAAACTCAGCTTTAATGAACAAGTTGTAAGAAAATTCGTACAAAATTCTGATTTTTCGGACGTAGTCTTTATCGGAGTAAAAATAAAGTTAATAGAAAGTTTAAGATTCTCGTTTACGGCAAACGTGAAACGTCAGTTGACCATTAAAAAATTCTTTAAAATTAGTGAAAAGGAATCGCAAAAATCTCCAAGTAGTAAATAAACAAAAGAATACTTGTCTTTGTCCAGAAAGTTTGCAAAAGGTAAAGTGAAATGTAGGGAAACAATGAAAACGTGGTCACGTTTGCCGTTTGCGGGAAGGAAAAACGGGAATCTTAATCTGCCTAATAGCACTGCTATAGAACTGTAAGAATAAAGTTAGAATCTGTACAAAGGCTTTGCGCGCCAAGTGCTTGTGGGTAATCAATGAACCGCAAGATTACGCTTCATACAAACTATATATAGTGCAACTTTGACAACAGGATACAGATTGGTTGTTTCTCGTCTTTCTATTGAATGTTTTTTCATTTTTTATTCTCATTATCTCATTCAGTTTGATAGCTCACTTTCAATATGACATTTTGTTCTTACCCTTTGGAACTGTAGGTTCCGTTTTGCTTTCTTAAGTCGAGTAACCTGCGTGCTCAGCAATTTTTCGTGCTCCTAAATAACAAAAACATTTCTTTTGTTAGAAACATCGCATGAGGAAAATTACCCAACTTAATTTTTTTTTTCAGATTTTTTGTTTGTCGATCGTTTGATTGACTGAATTCACGTCGCTTAAGTTGGTATTTTAATCCATCTATTTTAATAGATCTCTTTACCTTGGACGTAATGTTTTCCCATTTCAAACCACTTGTCATTCTCTTTAAAATGAAATTATTCGTTAGAGTCGTATCCGTTTTGTCTTCTCGTGCACAACCGTTAAATAAAGAAATTATACTCTAGGGAATGACACGTGGTCTGAAATAGGAAGACATTACGGCCAAGGTAAAGAGGTCTATATTTACCTCGACCTTGTCTATTAACTGTCTTTTGCACAGAAATTCTGAAACGATACAAAAAGAAACTTTAAGAAATGAGTGGACGAGATGTAAAAGAAAGCTTCTGGGTGTGTGTATCTAGAATATAACGTGACTGTATCATGAATGATCACGTGATTGTATTTGATTGCTGAAGCACTTCTATCAATAGGCCCTTTGCAGTTAACGATCACTTGTCTGTACTGGAATGCAAAATTTATGTTTTTATATTAAATTGGTGATTCKTTTTAGCTAYTTGTAAAGAACTGAATGAAAACATGTGTATCCAGTGTGTTACGAAATGTAGTTTTATTACGATCTCTCGAAACAGGTTGTAGAAAGTTTGTTTGCTCACCWGTATATTTCACCCATGGGAATCAAGATGTTCATTCATTTGCTCTCAGTGAATTAATCAGCAYGTGATTACTGAGCTGCAAAGGACCTATTATTTTACTCACCAAGGTTCATCAAACCACGCTTGGCCTTTTGTTCCATCTCTAACAAACAACACGAAAAATGACTGAATAAACACTCTTTTTCAGAATCAAATAATCCCTAAAGGCAATACTTGTAAAAATTGGTTGCGATGAATAATCTTGTAAGAAAAACTTGCTATTAGTCGAGCTACTTAAATTCAAGCGTCTTTCCACTCAAATATCTCTAAGACAAGTAAATTAGCGATTGTGAGATCATCAGTGACGTAATTACGAGCTCCGCGCGCTCTAAAATAACCGCTGTACRGAGAATAGGCCCTTTTCGAGTTCCAAATTACCGCTGTGTTCCTTGATTACAGACTCATTTGCTCAGGCTTAGCTTCGAATCAGTGTCAAAATATTCACAAATACCAACGGTAAMGTAAAAAATGCACAACTTCAACAATACAAACACTTTGAAACTTGACGGACCTTGACTGGGACACGTGCATATTCTACACAAAATCGAGGCTTAGCCTGAGTGAATGAGTCTGTAATCAAGATACACAGCGGTAATTTGGAACTCGAAAAGTGTCTATTCTATTTTAGATTTTTTGTTTTGTTTTTAGAGTGTTTTTATATTTAGTACTAATTAGTAATAATTCATACAGAATCCTTTGTTTCCTATTGTTTGATATCACTATTTAGTACTAAAAAATTAGTATTTGCTTCACGGGTTTAGTGCGAGCACTTTCTCAAAATTATGATGTTTTACCTACAAAACCGCTTTGTTTATTTTTTTCAGAGTTAAACAATTCCTAAAGATAAATACTTGTAAAATTTGGTTGCGAGGAATAATTCGTAAGAAAAACAGCGATTATTATTAGTGACGTAAGTACATGTTGACCGCCTACAGAGGATTCTATTTTTAGGTTGTTTTTTTTTTTTTGTTTTTTTGTTTTTATCACAATTATAACGTTTTACCGATAAAACCGCTTTCTTTATTTTTTCAGAATCAAACAATTCCTAAACATAAATACTTGGAATTCGGTTGCAATGAATAATCTTGTGAGAAAAACTTGTTATTAGTCGAGCTTCTTAATTCGTGAGTCTTTCCGCTCAAAATTCTGCAAATATTAGTGATTATGACGTCATCAGTGACGTAAATACAAGGTGAGCGCGCTCTAAAATAACTGCTGTACAGAGGATTCTATTTTATAATTTTTTGTTTTTATGAAAAGTAGGATGTTTTACCGACAAAACCGCATTGTTTAACGTTGAAGAGGAATAGTTTATACTAGTGCACCCGCAGTCATGAATAAAATATAAGTTTTCAAGTGATAACGTTTAAAATAACCATATTGATAGACTCAACCAAGCTTTCTTTACCTTTTTGTGTTTGATGATTTGACGATTATTTCAATAATTTTAATTTCCTGAGAAATTTCTTACTCAGATTTTTTCTTTCTTCCACCATTTCCTGGTTTTAAAAATCCGTAGAATTTAACTTCCTTTTTGTTTCTTCTGTATTTCAATGTCGTATGAAGCAGTTCAAGGTGACTTTTTGGTTAAGTTCGGAAACTGAAACTTAAAAGTCAGTATTAAAAAGTTAAAACAAAACAATTCGCAGAAAAACCTTCGTACCAATTCTGTATTTTGACGTCTTTCACATGTCGATGCAGCCCAAAGTTCAGCTAACAAGATCACTACGAAATGTTAGATGTGTCTGATTCTACGAACTGTATATTGTTTAAGTTAATTGAATAATATGTAACGTCATCAAGCATATTAACCACAGATCGGGAATCCCTCGCAACGCGTGCGGGCGAATGCATACAAAATTATAGAATAGGCTGTTGAATCAGAAACAAATTCACCTTTTCGGCACTAGATTGGATTGTGTTACGGTCATCAAAAAGTTCGGACATCGTTCTCGGATTTCCATACAAATTCACTAACTTTAAAGAAAAAATGTAGATAGATTTCTTTAGTTAGCTCTCTTAACAGCAGTAAGAAAAGCTTCAATCAAGCTAGAAAAATTATTTCTTACTTGTGTTAGAAAACTAAGCAAGTAAATAGCTCATTTAAAGCCAGTACATTTGTACGGAAATTCGAGAACAATGTCCGAACGTTTTGGTGACCGTAACACAATTCAAAACAAGTCTATGCCACGTGACGGCTTGCGCCGAAAAGGAGAATTCCCCGCTTTTACACCGTAATTTAATCAGAAAAAATAAAAACACAAAAATACCGTTTACCCTCAGATTGGCAATCTTAGATCTCGCACCGTCAACGTTTTCTGAAACAGTMGTACGCGATTAATTTATGGTGGAAAATCCAGGAATTTAAAAAGTTTATTCTCATTTATTTCCATGATGGCTTTYATTTTGCCTCCTTAAACAGCCCCAAAATGCTCTGCAATGTCAACTCGACTCATTTTTTTTTCAACCTCGAAATAAATTATTTTAAGAGGAAATTGTTTTYAAAAACGAGCAATAATGGCAAAAMGCGCCAAACACAAGACTTTCGTATGAGTTTTGATTCCCATTTTCGTTTTGGGTTAACACTCAAAACCTTTTTTAACAGTTAGACACTGATGTACTATGATAAAATGCTTGTTTGAAGCGGTATTTTCAATTGTACAAAGATGTCTTGTTGCATTTGTGTTAGAATGTTGCTTTGTCAGTTTTTTTTATAGAAAATATATGGGAAATAAGCAAATGAAGGCCTAAACCTCATTTTCAAATAAMATTTTTGCTTTGGGTTAACACTTTGATTCCACTTTCATCGGTCATCTCCGCTTCTAAAACAAGTTAAACTTTCTGAATAACGAGATTTTAGCCTTGTACAACAGCCTTTCTTCAAGAAAATAGTTCTTGGCGCTCACCGCTTGACATACGAAAATAATTCTCTCTTAATAACATAATTTTCTCTTTCTAGAAGAGAGGATAGCACACCAGAAGAGTGATGGCGTTCGTTGATATCAAGATGGTAAGAGGGGAAGAGGGGTCAAAATGGAATAAACCATAATAAGGGGCGGATACAGGATTTTAAAAGAGGGGGGGGATAATATTTAAAAAGTTCTTTTGAGCCTTCTTTTTGCAGTTCAACGGGAAAAATGATTGAATTACAACATATAGTGTACTGCATACTTGTGAAAGCAGCTAAATTTTGACTCTTGACATATTTTGTAATTAGATGCAATCATGTCCCTTCTATTCTCCTAAAAATATTCACTTTTACCCTAAAAAGTGGGGGAGGGGGGGAGGGTTGGAAATCCACCCAATCCACCCTCCCCCTATATCCGGTTGCAAACGGCTACTCGAAAAAATAGGATGGGGAGGAATATTCATAGGTRATTCTTTTCATGGATGGAGATATCAAGAAAAATATTATTGCTAGAATTGAAGCATCAGAAAAGTTAACAGTCTGTCTGTCTGTCTGTCATTTCAAATTTTCACCCCCCCCCTCCCCTCTGCCATACATTATGAACCCAGCCGCCTAATTGTTGATTAATTGCACCCTAAACATCACCGATAGTTGAATATTCTATAAATATATACGACAACTTTTTTTGTCATATCGCGCTCACACATTTTGAAGGGGACGCGCAACTTCAAGCATATTTTCTATATAGGACTTTTTAATTATATCATTATTTTCATGTCATAACGTTAGGCAAGGAAGAAACGAGAAAGCGTAAGAAAAAGTTTCGAAAAATTGGAACCCTGTTTTTATTTCGTTACTGCGATTCCCAGTCACACGCGACCAAGTGAGACCAAAATCACAAACAAAAACTTGAGTTTTGATGGACGTCAATCAAAAGGGTTTCTTAAACATGTCTAAGGATTCCGACTCCGATTTCAAACCTTTAACTGCAAACTATCAGTATTGACTTATCCTATCTTGAAGAAACTCAAATCATAGTCATAGCGATAGCTTTGCAATCAAGCGTTAAGATTCGGAGCCGGAATCCTTTGACATTTTTGAACAAATATATCCAGAGTGAGAAATTCACAGCGACAAGAAGCATGAGATAAGGACAACGACTTTTGCACGTGTTCACGTGAGTATTCACATCAGTCCTGGTGTAGAAACCAAYAGAAACGATAGAAACCCTTTTGATTGGCGTCCACCCAAATTCAATTTTTCGTTTGTGATGAAGGTCTAGTTGGTCGCGYGTGACTGGGAATCGCAGTAAACGCACATAGCTTTGATAAAACGTGCGATTTTTTCCGGAAATTGTCGATTTAATTTACTCGAAATGCAGCTACAAAATAAATACAGTGATCCCCATTTGTTAATTCATGTTTTGAACCCTTACATGTTGAAGAAACGGTCTGAAAAGTTTCATAAAATTTACATTAGATTTTTTAGCTTTGAGTCCATATTCCCAACTCCTGGAGTCCATTTTGAATTTTTAAGTCAGATCCCCCATCATGCTTATCGATCGATCACTATTCCGCGCACAGGTAGCCCAAGCTCGGTTTTCTTGGTTTTCTTAGTGGGGAAAAAAATCCTTAAAATTGGCTAAATTCGAAAAAAAAAAACACACAGAACGAAAGAAGTGCTATATTTCAATGCTGGTGTAAAATTTCGAGGCTTTATTTCATGTTTCAATGATTTTATTGAAATTTTTGAAAAATCCCCATAATTTCCTTATTACAGGACACCACAGAAACCAACCTTGGGCTACCTGTGTTCCACGAAGAACAAAATGGCGGACAAACGGTTCATCAAAATTGTCAAACAAAAACCCAATTTCTGGCGCTAAAAGGTAATATCTAGCTTAAGAACATTATGACACATAAATATAAGTTTMATCTTCATATTTGTGCGTGAAAATATTTGTGAAATTCATACCTACTGAAGCCCAGGCGATCGATTTTTTCAAAGCTGAAATCTGAGCTGTTTTATAAAGATAAGCCGACCATGAAGCAAGGGCTTTTRTTTAACTTCAAGTTTAACTTATTTGCAGTGTTTTTTATTGCTTTCATACCTAGTTGCTGTTGTCATTAGTATCAGTATTTATCGAGGCATTGTCCTATTGTCTTTATTAACGTCCTGTTGTATATTTATCGGGCATTGTTTAGTTGAATTCTTTGGGGAGTTTCCGCCCTTGCTAGGGGAAAAGGGGAAACATTAGAGACATTTAGCACGACGTTCTTGCTAGTCCTCACAAATCTCAATCTTCAGTTCGACGTTGAGCGTTTTCCTTAAAGCCTCAATTCGACATTTAGCAAGCCTTCATAACGAAGTCGTTGCTGGAAAAGTGTCCACATTGAATATCATTATAAAGCTGAGCGTTTCTCRGTGTTTACGAGCGTGTTTCTGGGCCTGATCTCTAGCGGTTTATAGCGGTAAACGCGATGTAAAGGGCTAATGATGAGTTATGGCAGCTTCATGATTCGATTCTTATTCTGTATTCTTTTTTTCTTATGTTCTTGTTGTCCTTATTTTATTTTATGGTTGCCAAACTCTGTTGTCGCAATCTGTTTACTTTTATTTTTCTATATTTTGGCGAGGACTATAGACCAATATTTCAAGATATACTTTGCTTGTCACATACAGAGGTTTCAGTTCGAGGCTATTTTTTTAACAACTTCATTGGTCTTCATAATTTCTCAACAATACTCCGTGCTAAATGAAATTGATTATGTTCTCCTGTCACGTATCAATGAGCATTATGCATGAAGCCTGACATTGAATCCATTGTGCCTGATAAGTAAAACTTATCTCTGAAGTGGGCTATTTATGCGGCAGTTTTACTAGAGTGCAAAGGGGTAAAATTCCTAAGGTGTAAAATTCTTGGCTCTCTGCATTGGGGATTGTGAATCCTTTGTGGCACGGATGACCAGGTTAAATAATAGTAATAATAATAATAATRAATGATGGTTCCTTCTCTGATATGGGGAAGTAAAAGAACAGCCGAGGATGCAACAAACCCTGGCAGTGACCACCCTCAGTGCCAGCAATGAGGTCGGCTTGGGGTAGTGTTCCAAAAAGGTTACTAGTGAATGAGACCCCCTCATGTTACCTACACTTACCAAAGAAATATTCATCATAACCATAGCTAGTATACCATTGGAATGTTCCCAAGTGCTAGATGAAAGACAAAGATAAAGACAATAAGATAAAGATAAGACAAAGCTTTCTGTAGAATGAAATAAAGGAAACTCTGCTCATCCCACTGATTTGCGTCTTAATAACCATATAACATTCTTTTTCTTTCTTTCAGGCATCACAGACCCTTAATCCTGATGATACTCTTGATGTAATCCACTATGTTCTAGAGGTTAGGTCATAAATTTTAAGGTTTATGGTATGTCCATATAAATTCTAAAATAATCCAGATTAAATAGTATGAAGTTGTTTACAAAAATCCATTGATGAACAACCAAATTATAAATTACTATAATTCAATTATTGTTTAAACTTATAGAATTAAATGTTTTATTATTTAATTGGTTAGGTATGAATTATAGAAGTAGAATCAACAAAACCTTTGATATAAAGGAGGAATGAGATTTTACCCTATTCAGTTTCACATGGACGAAAGAGGATTTGTCTGTTACTGTAAGTGACCAGAAATGCACAGTTGTCAATAAAATTTTTGGTAGGCGGTTATGAAATTAAAATAGGCGGTAAACCGGAAATCACTGGARCATGTAATCGAGGCATACTTGTCACCAGTCTCATTCTTCTCACAAAAATTCAAGATGGCGGACAACGATCATCGTAGTTTCGATTGCGTTGCAGTTTTCATAGTACAGCAACAAAGATTGGGTTAAAATTTATTTTGACAAACTTTACGGGATAAGATCTAAAGAGGTATTCTTTTGGAAGGACTTGGACACCCTGTCCTTCCAACATGCTGATTTGGCAGCATGTCAATGTTTATTTGCAAAGCATCTAGCACTACAGAACGAGTATCTAGCATATAATTTACTGCCCCATATGTGGCTGGAGAGGTCATGGACCAATGTCCACAGATCCCGCGTTGTGATCCACTCGAGGTGGAGAGGGGGGCGTGCTCCAAGGACTCTCTTTGTCCACAGTGACGGCAGTTCTCAGAGACGATCATCCCCCACTGTCAAAGACCAGGGAAAACTGGAACTACTCTGTGTATTACTTTCCAATTTAAGTCAGCCATGGCGGGATTGTTTAGTTTGTGATGACATTTCTTCCACACTTGGTCCCAATTCACTTGACTGGGAAGACGGGGTCTCCAAGTGTCAACACATCTAGGATGGGCTGAGTTCAGCCAGGAGGAGAGAGCCATCTGATACAGCACCTTGCAGGTGTGCTTAGGGGTCTTAGAGTTCGAATCTTCTTACATACATACATACATACATACATACATCGTTTATTTGCTAAAGCAGGTCATAAAAATAGGCAAGACAAGAGTCCTGACGTGGACCTGCATGATCTAAACATGCAAAGATAAATATAAAATTGATAGCTTATTATTACAAAATACACATGAATAAAATTGTAGTCACAAAAATATATAATATAATAAAAAAATATCCAATAATAGTAATGTTGATAATAAAAATAAATAACTTAATATTCAAAGAGAATAATTTTTAAAAGTAGACAAAATCCTCATTTTTACTCGTGATCAATCTTGTAGATGGTGACAACATGCTGGTAAAATACATTGGGTAGACTGGCAGTTGGTCGCAAATTGTTATGGAAACCAAGCTGTCTACTGATGTAGTATGAGTAAAGCRGCTGGAGAACCTATCCATCAATCATCCTACACAGCCACGACATTAGGAGGGCTTCACATTTGAGATTCACCCCGAGGCCACCAGAGTCGCGGTGCTGGACCATAATTTTAAGTCGGACTAGTTCAGGACCAGAATACCACAAATTTCCACGATTACCCTCGGCAAGAATAAAACCATTTGCAAGCATCATTAACTTGGCCTAACTGTAATACTTGCAAAACCGAAATGATAAAAACTTTTAAAAAACTGACTTGACCAATATACCTATGGAATTACATGCTTTATCTATAATAAACAATCTGCCATTTAAAAGTGGAAAATGCCATCTTAAACTGGAAGATGACATGTGTTTACTTTGACCTCGGATATCATATCCGGATTTGTGATATTATATCTGGGATTAACCAATCACACATCGAGTTTGGTTGCACCCACTTTGGCTGAGATATCATATCCTATCTTAAGATATTATATCCGTTCTTGTCCAATCATTAGCCTGCTATATTTAGAAACAGACATGATATCCTTTTTGGACCAATACAAAGGGTTTTATTTGCGTTGAGATACATATCCGTTTACCAGTTTCAAAATCATCTTGGTACGAAATTCAATACCGGTTTATTTTACCTTCAAACTCACGATTTTGCCACATATTCATATTATTCGCTAAGAACCACCTCGCTCTTTCTCGAATTTCCGAAGTCAAAACTTTGGTTTTGGCCTTTGATCTTAGACTAGTACTTGGTACTAATTTTATGTAAATTCCAATGAAAAGTTCATTTCCATGGCTAGAGTACGATGAAGCAGCCTAACTCCTCTCCTTTGGTGTCTTTGGTATTCGATAATCTACATRTCATGTTTGGATTCTTTTGTGGATATGGAGATATGATATCCAAGTTCATCCAATCTTGTACCTCTTATTATTCAAAGCAGATATCATGTTCTTTCTCTGTCAATAGCTATCACCCATAAACAATAACTTGTTTCAGTACGCTTCGAGCTAGTTAAAAACGTAAATTTGATTCACAACCCGTGTTAGATTTTTTCACACGTGCTATAACATAAACAACGGCCAATCAAAACTGATCAGTATTTAAACGTTTGGCAATCTATCTCGGAGGATAATTTTGATTTGTGATTCGTAAATCTGAACAGGGGAAACTAAGTATATCTGATTACCGTATTCAAGTCCGCCAAGTCACAGCATAAACATTGTAGAATTGCGCGGGAAATGGCGCAGGCTAGCAAGAAGCACGACAAGCGCGTGATCAAGACATCGTTTTCAGTTCGTAAAATCAAACATCAACACACTGTTTTGTGCTTCATGAATAAACATCGCTTATATTCAAGATTCACACTGKTTGAAAATATAAGCACACATCTCTAACATTAAAAATAGACGTAGTACTGACCAAAGTAAACCAACCCGCGTAAAACTGCCGCCAAGAATACAGAACTGTATGACTCATTCAGATAARATTCATTTGATACACAGCAGTTACATATCATATCTAGTTACATTCGGTCTTGTTGACTGTCAGTCGGTAAAAGGAGCGGTAAACAGACTTGTTTGTACAATCTGTGTAGTACAGTAGGTGRTAATAATGCCGCAGAGACATGTGTATGTTATTTTAACTTGGTTCCGCAGGTTTCTCGTAGGGTTTTTGTTCTATCGAGGGGAAAAAACATAACACGAGAAACCCCCTTGGACCAGGCTCACTCTGCAGATAACGATTTATTTGCCCTCCATGAGTCGCTCGGCAACTGTGTAGCGATAATCATCGATTTCGTCCTATAATAAATCGAAAAATGATCAATAAGAAAACTTGTTGCGAAAGTTAGTCAGGGTACAGTCTTATAGAGAGCGCGCGAAATTGAACATCAGTTCCGTTTTGAGAGAACCGTGAGAGCCAAAACGATTATCATTATCATCAATTTTAGATGCACAACGAAGAAAATGTGACTAAATGCCCACCCTAGAAAATTCCATGTGAGCTCCAGACTTCAATATGATACATTCGGCGATCTATAAAAAAAATAAGGAAAATTATTCAAGATTAAACTCTGCCAGATCTATTTATATCTGCGATGAAAATTAATACAGTATTTACCTTCAGTACGTATACGCCACAACTCACGGCATCATGTTGGGTTGGGTGATCAATGTGGCTAACTTGCCATTCATACTGGAATCCCCTTTCGTAAAGGAACTTTCTATTAAATACAATAGATTGTCATCAGTGCAATATTTTTATTATTATATATACTATTTCTTATTATGGATTTGTACACACGCTCTATGTTTTTTGTATGATTTTTGCGTGATACCTGAGATTCTCATAGTGTCGAGCATTACTCTTTTGTCCACCAAGGGGGTCAACTATGGAGATGGTTGAGTGCTGAAAGTCCACGACCTGTCAAAGTTTATAACAGGATTTTAAAGTAGGAAAGGAAGTTATTTCTTAACCGCCGAATCCCACCTCGTGTCTCTGAAAGATTGTGAATGCAATTCAGTATTGTATAAACGCCCATTTTATCTAGAGGTCGAATGCGCCAAATCTAATGGTGTTAGCCTGATTTGCATTCGATTCTTAAACTAAATTCGATGTCTAAACTGGGCCTTTTTATAAAGTCTTTCAAACAAAATTGTCTCCCTTCCAAAACGGTCAGCCCTCTTACAGGGTTTCCATACCGATGGTTCACAGTAGTAGCAAATGATTCAGTACCCACCCCAAGGCTCCAATGATTTGGCGAAAACTGGCTTGGGAAAACAAGCTTGTCGAATTTTTTAAGGTCAACCTGGCAAATAAATACAGAGAAAAGTAATTTTATTCAAAGAAAACAAACAAACCCGTACAGTGGAAAAGCAGTTTGTCTCTTTAATATTACCTTTTTTCTCCATGATTTCCCTTGAACTACTATTTGGTAGAATTTAGTATTAGCTGTTATTATCTTCCTTCCCTGAAAGATTTTAAAATACATCATGACTATGATACTCTGATCAGATATGATGGTATCAGTTATGGTATCAGTATCAGGAAGGCACTTTGTAAACCAGTCTATGACTGAAAGTTTAAACCTTCGTTAAATAAAGCTTTTATTATTATTATTATTATTATTATTATTATTATTATTATCAGTGAAGTTGAACGTTCAAGAGCCTTTTTCGAAAATTTTCCCCAGCTTTGATAAGAATAACTCGCACATGAAAAACAACCTTCAGTAGTGATTTAGAGTTATTACAATGAGTTACCATTTTGCTTGCCCACTTTTCCAGCAGCTTGATGTACTCGTCAATAATCTAATAGCATCAATAAGAGGATTTTTTAAATAGCTAAAACATTTTTAAAAGAAGGAATTTTTGGGCCTACAAGATTTTTAAAAAAGTCTATGTGTTTCTTGCTCAATTCAGCCAAACAGCATTTAGAATGTCAGTAAGAACGTCAGTAAGTTTTTTCATCTTTTCACGGTGAATAATTTACTTTTTTATCATTACTGTGGCATTTAGAATTGTTTCCTTAAATGATTCAGTCATTTGAACACTTCCTACCTCGTCGTTAAGGTATCCCACTTGCCACTCCGTGTTTGGCATAAGCTGCGTCGTAATTAGGGACTGATGTATTGGGGGCATGTTAAGCTGTAAAGTCTTAAAATCCTTCCAGCACACCAGTCCCACTTTGCGATAAGGTGCTTCGGTATCGTCCCATATCGCCTCAATCTGCAAGATTTTTTAAGGGTAAAACCAATGCCTGCTCAATGTCAATTCATCAAATTTAGAATGTGTCACTTGCAAGTTGTTGTCACGAAAATTTATGTAGAAAATGACTAACCTTGGTTTTGCGTTCCAGTTGCGCAAGCTTTTCTAAACATTTCTGAAATTCTGTCTCCAGAACATGTTCATTGAAAAAAAGGGCATCTTTGTCCATGGTCGGCGAAAGATCCGAGGCAAAGATCTGGTGGGAAAACATGTCTTCGACCACCGGTTTTTTGGGCCACTTGTAGCATCTCCCACCTTTTATCTTTTGAAGAAAGGTAACAGAGATGATGCTGTCGTCTTTCTCTGTTACAATTTTTCCTAGATAAAAGGTGGGTGGTCTCGGTCTGGCCTCTGTGTACCCCACTGCCACAAATCCCGTCTATATGTATATATATATAATAAAAAATAAAAATCCAGTCACATCTGCTAAGTCCTATTGTATTATTGGCAATATTACTGTTAATCCAGTGTTTGCCACTTTTTACCTCGACAGTTTGCAATTTTCTTTTTGCTGGTCTTGTGTGTTGTTCCTTCAAAAAAAACAAAAAAACTGATAAGCTTATTGTAAATAGAAATAATTGGATTGGCAAATTAAATGCATAATTATTTTATACTTGCTTACAGTGCCATCATTGTCACTAGCAGTTGATTGGGCTCGTTTGTTCTCCCTAATTGGTACTTGTTCTTGAAACTGATGCAAAGAAATATGACCATTAATGCCTATTTTGCCATAACTCTGATTCGTACTGAACATTTTACAAATATACCTCTGATCACCGAAAATTGTCTCACTTTCTGAAGAAAATTTGTAGTATAGTTTTCCTTCGGAGTCAGTGAAAGTGTGATCCGTTTGTTAATACGTATTATTGAACGCTAAACTCAACAATCCTTTTACTAACCTCTTTGGAATTTGATGATGACGTGGAGGCGTTTTCTTTCTTTGCTTTCCCCGGCTTCGGAGTAGACTCATGCTAAGTGAAGGAAGACATTATTAGCCTTTTTAGAGGTTGGGAGTGTTTATAATGATATCAAAAGACCCAGTCAAATGATGCGAGCATTGTTTCCCGTGTAAGTCTGAAAAATCAAACTATAAACTAAAATCTTCCCAGTTCGAATTCCTATACTCACTATTGTTATCGTTGCTTGCATATCATCGTCTTCCAGGTGTTCAAGTGCCGCATCCTGCGACGTACAACTGGCATTCTGCGAATCCAAATATACCATCAATATATCAATGAAATATGCATATGTTGTCTTTTTCGCAAATATACCTTGTAACTAACTAACCAATAACAGCTATGCACAGTCTGACGTATGCTCGGCGGGAAATACGAATTGGTGACACTATTCACAGTATTGTAGAAGCTCCCGTGCTCGGCAAGTTACACCGGCGCTTACTAATAAAATCGATCAAACCAAGAAAAAAATACTAATTCGTAAGTCGCGATAAAATTTGGCTTTCACTCATTCGATGGAGAAACAACCCTGATCGTCATTGTAAAACCAGTCTTCCGACACACTGAAGCAAGCTCGTTCAAATAATTTTTGCCGCCAAAATCAGCTTCGAGGTAAGAGAAGTGATTCGTCATTTTATCCAAGTTACGGAGTTGATAAAACTCATTGTGCACATCATTATGGGCAAAGAATTTGCATTTCTTTATTTTTACCGTCTTATACTGTGAGAAACAGAAAAGTGCTAAAAAAGAGAAAAGTGCCTATAGCTCTCGTCATCATTCTCGGGGACCCACATGGCGAAAGGGGGAGGGGGAAGGGAGGACGGACGGAAGGGGGGGGGGAGGGGGAAAAGGACGCGCGCTATCATCTCGTCATGCATGTATTCACTTCAGTAGGATAATACTTAATAATATTTAACCAGTATTACGGTTAAATACATTTTGACAGGAAATGCAATGCGACAACGATTTCTCCGCGGATAGTGACGATAGTAGCTATTGCGAGCACGACGACGAAAGCGACTTTTCCATCGCAAGCAGTGACGAGAACGAAGATTATTTCTTCGCCAGTAGTGATGACGATTCCATCACCAGACTTAGTGAAGACAATTCCATCGCCAGTAGTGAGGAGGACGACGAAGACCATGATTTCAATGGCAATGCCAGTGACGACCCACGGAACCGATCGACCTCAGAAAAACGGCCAAAAAATACCCAGAAGCTTTCCAAAAACAAACACCAAAAACTATCCCTCCAAAAATGAAAAAAGCGGATATTATCAAAAGTGGGGCCTACTTGCACAATCTTTTGACGGAAGAAGCAAATTGCTGCAAAAGTAAATGCATTTCGGAAAAGCTCTCCCCCCATGAAATCGAGAAAAATCTGAAATACTTTTGGGACATGAATGAGGAGGATCAAAGGAGATTCATTTTTGATTTTCTTTATCTAAATCATTCGAAAGGTCGGTCTGGGAAAATCAAATATACCGGGTATCACCTAGGTGGGAAACAGGTCTGCCAGGATGCATGGAAAAAGGTTCACGGAATAAGTAACGGCAGGTACGTGTAACTGGCTGGTTAAATTCCACATGGGTCTATCATGCTTTAAGATATGTAACGATCTTCTAATACAAAATAATCACTTCGTCACTCAGTTATTGATAGAAAAAAGGTGTATCCACCAGGCAATTGCCACTCTATTTTTCCTATAGATATCATAATCTACGACGAGACTTTGAAGCAGGGCGCACTTGCCCTATAAGTAACAGAATTGGCGTGGTAGTCAAGTCGGAAAGGGCGATTGAAGCCGAACTTTGGTTCGATGAATATTTCCACGTAATGGGCGACAAAATGCCGGACAAGAAAAAGATTCATCTTCCCTCGTGTATCACCAAGAACCAAGTCTTCCTTACCTACAAAGAAGAGCAAGTTAATTCCAGGAAGAATCCCCTGGGGTATTCACAGTTCAGGAGAATATGGGCTACGCACTTTAGTCATGTCACCATACCTAAGGTAGGTATCAATTATTTAATCTAAGGGGTTTGGTATTTGAAAGCAGTTAATACGAATAGTTTTTACTGATATGTTCTACCTTCTTTAGATAAATAGATTTACCAAGTGTGGCGTTTGCACCCTTCTCAAAGATAACTTGCAAAAGATCAAGAGTAAGGAAAGACGCACATATTGGCTCCATCTAAAAGAAAGGTACTTGCTGCAGCAGTCGTAAGATTTATTTTTTCTTCTAGTTCTTTTGTACATACAGTGCCATATTTCTTTACGCCTTTATCGCGTTCAGCAAGTTTCACCTTTTTCCTCTTCAGCTTAGAGAGAAAAAAGTACAGTAGCCACCAGGCGAAAGCAAGGCAATACCCAAAGAAATACTTATCCATCATCATGGACGGTATGGATCAAGCCAAGACTCGATTGCCTCACTTTTACATAGGCTCAAAGGTTAGTAGCAAAGTACGGGTTGTGTCGTTTAAACACCAATAATGAATGTTACTGTTCTGTAATTCCAGATTGAAGGTGAACATGCTGGATTTTTGAAAGTTCACGTCACTGGGGTCATCTCACATGGTAATAATGTGGCTAATTGTTTCTTGGACCTGATGAGGTGGCCACATGATGCAAATGTGACAATGAATGTCATGCTAGAAACTTTACGAAAACTTAAGCTCAAGGTAATTTGATCTGATTTGACGTTCCAGATGGAGATTCCGTAGCACCATACGCGATAATTTTCTTATCACCTTTCATTCCAGGTCTTTCTTGTCGCGGGTTGAGGGGGGGGGNATCCTAACTCGAATCCTAACTCGAATCCTAACTGGAATCCTAACTCGGAAGATAGATACCCTCATTGCCTCCATCCAACTTATATTTTCCTGTGCTTCCGGTTAAGATAAGAAACAAATTATTTTTTCCATTGTGCAAACAATGCGCAATCGATGAGACGGATATATGTTTACATTCTTTGGGCGAGCGTAGCTTCTGGGGTACTTGGACGACATGCGAAGTAAGTAAAGCTGTTAAAATGGGCTATCGAATCATCGAGACAAAAGAAATATGGCATTTTGACAAGTCGCCTTGTGACTTATTTAAGGGTTATATCAACATGTTCCTCAAATTAAAACAACAAAGCAGCGGATTTCCGGCATGGGTTCAGTCTAATACGACTTACTTTAACACCCACAACTTGCGCCCCCTGTGGAGCATAAGGCAACTGACAAGTTCCTTCCTATGAACACGGTTATTCATTTTTTTATAAACGAGTATAAAAGATCTCACAAAATTAGCATTTACGGGGAAAAGTTAATTGTGAAGTGAAACGATAATGRATCAACAGTGCATACCAACAATATGCCTGGTATTTCTGCATTCATTTTAGAATATAACAATGTGAGAAATATCAACAACTGAAACAAAGCGGGCTGATGTGTTTCTTTTCAGGTCAAATTGTCGTATTTGATTGTAGGCCACACTCATGAAGACATCGACCAGGTATTATATCCGGCACTACAATACAACCTKACATGCTTTCATTGCTATTCAAAATTACTGATCACATTTCGAACAATTTTTTAGATGTTTAGTCGTTTCTCCGTTGCACTAAGGAAAACCGAGGCAACAACAATTTCTTCTTTGAGGCAAGTGATCGGTTCCTCCTATACTCCTCAACCATCCACAGTCTACATGGAAAATGTCTATGACATCAAAGAATGGTTGASRCCTTACCTGAGTAAATTGAAKTACCACAGTCGTCCACATGCATTTAGATTCAAGAAAGATGATGCGGACAATGTGGTAATGCATTACAAGCAGCTGGCCAATTCTAATCAATCTTGGCAAGGGAAAAACAAGACTAACCAAGGCTATTTGGTCCTGAAACAGAATCCCCCTGGGAGACCGTCGGTTCTCAGACCAAACCATGAAAATTGTCCGTCTGTCAATGTCATGAGCGGYCACATTGACAACTTGTCCTCTCGATTGACCCACRCAGACATGCAGTGGTGGCAKGAGTTCCTCAGGCAAGAGGAGAGAAAAAGATCAATGTGGGAAAAGATGACGAACGCACAGTACGCTGCGGCGTCATGTAAGTTCCCCCTGCCATCACTTGCTCACTGCGATGGTGAATCAGCGTCGGAGGACGAGGAAAATGCCGACAGCAAAGACATCCAAAAAGCTGAGCAGAATATACTAAAAATGATCAACAAGACCACTGATCACAAGCCGGTAAGTCACCGCAGATCTATTTCAATATTGCTCTGAAGTAAAGGCACAGTTAGTTCATATATATAATCCCGTTTTCCGAATTAATTTCAGATTGAAGAAGTTAGTACAGCCAAAAAGAGAAAAGCAACCAATCAGCTAGGAAAAGAAAACCAGCAACAGAGAAAAAAACAAGGAAGGAAGSAAAGAAAAAAGAAATAAATGCTTCCGCCTGCAAATAGTTATTTGGTAGACAGCTCTGGCCTCCGTTCAAGACGTTTCAGACTGTAGTTCGCTCTTCCCTCCGTTCCCGGCCTCCCACAACGACACAACATCTGCAACGCAAGGCTAAAAGCAGTGAGCTCCCTAGGAAAAGTTTCAGACATACCTAAACTACCACAGTCCATTCCAATCCTTCTATATTTAAAACCTACAACTTCTCTATTAAAGTATGAGGAAATAATATAATATAATTATACAGCTTCTCATTAATCCCATATAGGTAACTGTCCAATTATTTTCTTAAT